GGGTTAGGGTTAGGGTTAGGGTTAGGGTTAGGGTTAGGGTTAGGGTTAGGGTCGCGTTTTTCCTTAGCGCTTCGAACGGCACGAATTAGTCTTCGCGCTTATGTCTCCGCGGATAAGGGCTTCGCGGATTTGTGGTGGAACCGCATGTGCAGTAGTAAATGTGCAGTTTTGGGGCATGGCAGGCTGAGTTACTACCTACTCAGCCGAACTGGGCTGAACCTGTGGTTGTGTGCCAGTTATTGGTCTTTCCTGAACCGAAAATCCCTACTCACAGTCATTCCCCCAGAAATTAAAATGGCCCCCACTCTGACACCCTTCCGGAAGGTTCTGAAGACCTGGTTCTGGTAGCAGGCCTGGGGAACACAGAGCAGGATGGAGCCCATTATGATGCACTATCACTGGGGTGGAGGGGTTATTATATTAATTTATTCTTTGATTACGCCCTTTTATTAGTTTTATTTTTGATAGATGACATTTTTATATTGAGACTACGTTGAGATGAAAACAAAACTCTGCACTGGCGACATGAAAGGCATCCGGCCAGTAATCACTCAGCTCCATTCAGTTGTCCAAATTCCACCCCGCGAGGGATTCTGGGCTCATTAAAAGAAGATGATATGGTGTTTTTGTATTCCTTTAAGCCGCCTTGAGTCGCCACGGGTGAATAGGCGGCAATACAACATTCTAAATAAATAAATAAGCTTCACTACCTATGAATTAGAAAGGGCCCAAAACAGGCGGGCGGTGCAGAATTTTGGGGGTTTCTCCCTTACCCTGACCTGAGCATCAAGGAAGGTTTTTCTACCTGGAGTTCTTTGAGTTTCTTCTGCAGCTGGGAAGCCAGGGCTTGCTCGTCTTCAATCTTGCTGTTCTGCTGGTGGATATCAAACTCTTTCCTGCCAAAGAGAATTCTGGGAAGTTAAAAACCTGGTCCATAAAATACAGATTGACCTCGACTTGCCACTGTTCACTTAATGACTATTCAAAGTTACTAAGTTACATTGAAAAAAGGGACTTAGGACCAGAGGTGGTATTCAGCCGGTTCAGACTGGTTTGGGCGAACCAGTAGCGGAAATTTTGAGTACTGTATTTTTCGGAGTATAAGACGCAACTTTCCCCCACTAAGAGAGCGTGGAAATGTTGGTACGCCTTATACACCGAATTCAGCCATTTTTAGCCTCCCGAAACACCGCTCCTGCATCCCATTTTGGCAAAAAACGGGTGGGTTTTTTGCAAAAACGGAGGCATTTTTGCCTTTCCACAGCCCCCAGCAGCACCCTTCAGGCTTCAGCAGGGCTGGGGGAAGGAAAAAATGCCCCCGTTTCTGCAAAAAAACGAACCATAAATGTCCGT